AGGATATAGAATTCTTAGGGCCTAGAGATTTAATTCAAAGTAGTGTCCTTCAAGCTTAAAATTTCCCTGAAGCTTCATGCTTTATCTTTAGAATGGATGATAAGTTTGCATTCTACTCCATAACTCTGCAGGTTGTTAAAACATAAAATAACATTTTCCTCAGTTTTTAAGTAGACTCGATGCTGTCGGAGATATAGTCCACGTTTGTCTTGTGACTTTGCTTCGCTCCTGGAACGTAACCAGGCGTCCCTCTAGCCTCCGTGCACCCTGTTTAAGAAGTCCCCCACAGGCCCTGAGCAGGAGCGTGATGTGCTCAGAGCAAGGGCGACGTGAGGATTCGTCCCTGTGAGGCAGGTGGGAAGCCGCTGGGTTATATAGGTGAGAAATGACACTGGTCTGGCCCAGAGTGGGAGCAGCAAAAAGGAAGAACAATGACAGACTCCAGGGGATCTTGCCGGCAGAGCTCATGCCTCCGCAATCTAGACTCGCTGACTGCAGCAGAGCGATGCCCTGAAGTAGGGCTCAGAGCCTACTTTTCACCGACGAGAGGATGTCCTGGAGCTTACTGGATTCCAGAATTAAACAAACAATCCAGGGAAGAAGTGACAAATGCAGCTTCTTGGGCATGCCCTGGTTTTGGGCTGGCTTAGGGCTGGCAGCTTCTCAGTTCAAAGAAAATGAAAGAAACTCCCCAGCTGTAACAATAGGCTTAAGCCAGGCTTATAACATCAGCTCATAAAAGCTCCTTGGACAGAAAGTTGCTTTGGCTAAACAATGTTTTGATGAGTTAAATGCAAACGAATCAGAAGCATATGGAGCCAGCTCTCCCCACTGGGGGTCTCTTTGGGGTGGGATGGAGGTGGTGGGGGTGAAGAAGGGGTCTGATGCGAAACATTTGAGATTCTGCCCAAAAACCCACAGACGTGTAAAAAAGTAGTAGCCGTTGCTCCAAACCTGCTTTTTCCAATCCTAAAATTGTCCTGAGGTTTCCCCAGTCCTAATCTGGCGAATGTAATGAAGCCGGACTGTCCAAGCGCTCTGTTTGGCAAATCTGCAGCCAGTTCATGCCAGGCTGGAAGTTCTCGTGGTTTAACCAGCTAATCCTCCGCACCCCCCTGTTTGCCTGTTTCCGTGCAGGCAGAAACCAGGCTTGGGGCTCTCCGTGAATGGCGGCAAGGAGGAGCCTGCATAATCCAAATTCCTGTGTGACCCCACAGCACAGCATCTATATTTGGAAAAAGCATTAAGAAATTATTTCAAAAGCTATTTACTCTCTTAGCAATGGTTCTTTGCACTCCTGGCTGTGTATTTGCGCTCTGAAAGTGTGCAGGGGCCTGGGTGGCAGTGTGAGGGGTCACTGAAGAGCAGAGATGAAGAGTTGTAGAAGGGAGGTGGGGAAGAGTTCACACCATGCCTGGCTTTGTTTGTACTTTTGTCTTTTAGGAGGAGCTGAAGAGCTGAACGGAGGCCTGGGATGAGGCCTGGACAGCTCGCCTCCAGAGAAGGATCGCACTTTAGTAATGAAAGAATCCACTTAATTAAAAAGGATGTCTGACAAATTCTTCCTCTTACTGGCACCCGTCCCTTTCAGGCCACATGGACCACATCTTATGCATCATCTCGGCTTTTCAGTGAAGGGCTTAGAGGAGAGCCTGGGTGTGGAAAGGACTGTATACAGGTTTGTTATTATTGGTATTTTTTGGAATCTCAACATATCTATATTGACCAACTTGCTCTGTACCAGGCATTATGCAAGGCGGTGAGGATGCAGAGAAAGGATACAGTCTGGGTCCTCCAGGAGTTGACATTTATAGGTCTTGATAGTGTATCTTCCTCACAGTGGATTGTGGTTCTGTTTTCTCCATTCCTCGCTCTTATCCCCAGCTGTCCACACCCCTGCAAGTGAAGGCTCAGGGTGTCTACAAGGCAAGGATAACAGAGGGGTTCCAGTGGGCAAGGAGGTAGAACTCCCCACAGCACTGGGCTGCCGGGTAAAATACAGGACACTCAGTTATGTTTGAATTTCAGATTAATTTAACTGAGCATCCTGGTGTTTCCTTGCTTTGCAGAATTCAGCAGCCTAACCAGCCACAATATCAGGCTGGCCACTGAGAACCATGGAGTCTGACTTCCAGACCCTTCTCCTTTTCTGTGTACTTTCCTCTTTCCATCAGACTCGTAAGTGTGTCCTCTTCTAACACTACCCTGAAGAAAACAACTAGAGTTTATTCTTAATGTGAGTTTCACTCTCCCAGGGATACTTTAACTATAAGCCTTACCTTTAATTATGGAGGAAAGGCTATGTCCCACTTTAAAGGAATATTAAGCGCTAGTTGAGGAGTGGGAGGTATCATTTCACACAGGAAGTCTTCCTCGGACCCTTGGAATCACACCACATTGGCCATGGGGCTACTGAGCCCATGTGTGCAGCCAGTGCTGCTCCCGCATGCCCCACTCCTCTCTCTGGGCCATGCGGCAGCACTGCTTTCCTTTGGGAAGGGAATTCAATTCCTGACTTCCCACAGCAGTTGGCCCCAGTACTCCTCTCGGTCTGTGCCTTGGACCCCTTCTTCCAACTGAGCTGAATTTCCAGAGCTCCATGTTCATGGAGGCCTGATGCCATCCCCTAACTCTTCTGCACCCCTAATCAGGAGGTACTTCAGCCATCTTGGAGAAGGGTGCATGATAACTTTCCTTCCCTGGCTAAGACCAGAAGCTGCCCCTTTTGCTCTCCATTCGTATTCTTGTGACACACCTTGGCTGGGCAATAGATTTTAAAGAACTGCTTCGTTTGGCAGACACCTTGTCTCTCTGCCTTTGTGTAGTTAATGATGTGTGTAAAACTTACATCCGTCACAGAAGACAGGTAACCTCACACTGATTCATTTCCTTTCTCTGGGACATGTCTGGACTCTCCCTGCCTCATGATCTTCACAATGGGAAAAGTAATACCAAGTGAACTTTCATCCAGCACCTTTTATGCTTGAGACTCAAATTCACTTTTACCCGTTCCCTCCTACTACATCTTCTCAGTCAAGAGGTAAAGATGATTTTTCACCCACGTACTCCCCTTTCTCTATTCTTTTCTGACAAATGTTCACTGACCCTGGGTGACTCCTTTGTGGTCTTGGCCTCTGCCTTCTGGCATCTGGTCCCGTCTGGATATTTTATCCCTCCTCAGAGCTTATCTTTGTCAACCAAATCCCACAATTCTTGAATTAGAACGTCGGTTTGACCCAGAGAGTGACTCTTATTTCCTCCCAGTCATAGCAGCAATCTTATCTGAGGGAAAATGCAGATCCAGGTTCTGAAACCTGGATTTATTGATCCTTAGAACCTTTAAGTGGCCTTGGGACCTAAAGGTGCAGAATATATTAGACTTGAAATATCTTGGGAATAGAGACACATAGTAGGTGCTCAAAAGTCATTGATGAATAAATGAATGATGCTCCAATTTTAGATGCTGTGCTTTTGTTATCACACAAAGGGCATGATCTTCTCACAGTGAGACAAAAGCCAATCGTCAAGAGGCAAGGTGGTGGCAGAGAAAGGGCATTTTATTACAGCTTGCTAGCAAAAGGGAAGATGGCTGACTAATGTCCAAAAGAACCATCTTCAGGGGGTGCAGAATCTTGAAGAAGTTATATAGGCCAGTGGGTTATAGGGCAGGGGGTTAGGAATGTTGACCCTCTGGTGTGACAGACTGGGAGTTGCCACACTAGATCTTTCAGTTTTCATTGATGATGGCTATCAGCATAGACTCTCTGTTTGGGGGGTCATCACATTCCTAAGGAACTCAAAAGAATGAAGTTACCGTCTTATGGCAGCTGAGAGGTATATGCACAAGCAGGGGTTGTAAAATCTACAGAACAGCTGGATCTCCTCGAGGGTACAAATCCAGCTGGGTTAGTCAGTCAGAGGTCATTCAGAGTTACGACATGGTCTCTTTTCTACAATATGGCTTCCCTTAGGTCAACCTTGTGTTGAGCCAGTTTCACTTTTCAGTAGGGATATGAGTTCTAGTGTGGTCCAAGAACCCATATCAGTAAGGACTGTAAAAGTCTTATCACTTTGTAGAACATCTAAAATAAAGGTCTTTGCTCCTCAAGAACTGGATGGAAATTCTAACCTCATGTTGTGTTCAGGTTTGGGAGTGACATGTTGGCATCACCAGAGCTTTAAAAATGTGATTAAGAAAAATTACCAAAATGAATGGCTGTTATCCCTAGGCTAAACAAACCAAAGAATATTCCAGAAACATATGGATAGAGATTTAGGAATATCCAAGTCCATCGAATGATTTAGGCTAATCTCAGAGAGGTAGTCTGGAAAATCATTGCAACTAGAAAGCTGAAGTGTAATTAGGAAAGACAGTATTGACTAAAGGGTGGTGGACAGCTATTCCGACAGAGCGAGGATTTGGAACTGGTAACTCAATGGTGCCCAAGACAGAAACTGGTCAGAATAAAGATTTCAGGTTGATATGCAAGCACCTGATTTTCAACAGAGGTACAATTTCAGTGAAGAAAGGATGGTCTTTTCAACAAATGGTGCTGGAACAATTGGATATCCATAGCAAAATACAATCCAGTACTTTACATCATTTGCAAAAATTGACTCAAAGTGCATCAGAGAACTACACATAAAACTTAAAACTATAAAGCTTCTAGAGGAAAGCATAAAAGAAAAGCTTTGTGACCTTGAATTAGGCAAAAATTTCTAAGATGTGACATCAAAAGCATGATTCATAAAAGAACTAATTAATAAATTGAACTTTATCAAAGTTAAGAACTCGTGCTTTTCAAAAGACTATGGTAAGAAAATAAAGAGACAAGCCTCAGATTGGGAGAAAATAGTTGTAAATCATATGTCTTATAAAGAACTTGAATTTCAAATATATAAAGCACTTTCAAAACTCAATAATAATAAAATAAAATAAAATTTAAGTGATAAAATGGGAAAAAGATTTAAATAGATGCTTTACTAAAGAAGATATACAGATGGAATGTGAGCACGTGAAAAGATGCTCAACATCCTTGGTCATCAGGGAAATGCAAATCAAGTTGAAACCACAATGATATTCCACTATGTACCTACTAGAATGGCAAAATTAAAAAAGGACCACACCAAACATTAGCAAACATGTGGAAAAACTAGAACTTTCAAACCATACATTGTGAATGGAAACGTATAGTGTTACAACCACTTTGGAAAACCTTTTAGCAGTTTCTTAAAACATTAAGCATACACTATCATATGATCCAGCCATTCCACTCCTAGATATTTACTTAAAAGAAAGGAAAGCATATGCCCGTACAAAGACCATGCATGAATATTGATTTCAGCTTTATTTGTAATAGTCCAAAATTGGAAACAACCTGAATGTCCATCAACAGGTAAACTGATAAACTGATACAATGACACACGACTTCGCAATGAAGAGGGATGAACCAGTGATACAACTAACAACGTGGAGGGATTTCACAATAATTTTGCTGAGCGAAGTAAGCAAGACAAAAAAGTACTTGCTGGGTGATGTCACAGTCAATAAAATAGAAACTAATCTTTAGTGGCAAAAAGGAAATTGGTGAATGTCTGGGAACAGGGATGGGAGGGATTATAAAAAGAAATGAGGAAGATTTTGGGGTGATGGATATGTTCCTTATCTTGATTGTCATGATAGTTTCACAGGTGTACACATGTGTCAAAACATGAAATTGTTCTCTTTAAATATGAAATTTGTTGTATACCAATTATGCCTCATTAAAACTGTTAAGAGTCCATATGTCCAAGTTCTGGAAATTTCTCTCCCTATTTCTTACTGCAGAGATCAGGAAGAGGATCAGGACTCCACGGAATGCAGGCTGCTTCATGGCCGCCTTTGAAATGCCTTTCTTTCTTCCTTCTTGGTGGACTAGGGGAGTGATAGCAAATGGGATTGTATTAGAGGCTACCTCAGCTTTAGGAGAAATTCAAACAATTTCTGGGTTGAATAGAATTCATTTAAGGGAATTCATATAATATTCCACAATTGTAAGGATTCCTACTAATTACATGCATATGCATACAACCACACACAAACGCTCACATCCATTAACACATATGTTCTCACAAAAGAGAATCCAATAGAAAAACCAATGGGCAAGAGACCTGAACAAGCAATCCAGAGAAGCAGCAGCTTGCATTCCTGCTAATAATTAGAAAGTATAAATTAAACACACATGATAAAACCATTCACACCCATTAAACTGGGGTGGGGAAAGTTTGAATCTGACAGCACCAAGCTTTGGCTAAGACGCGAAACAATTGGAAGTCAGATACTTTGCTGGGTGCACATTGGGACAACAAATTTAGAGAGCAATTTGGCAAAGCTGAAGATTCTCGTACCCTACATGCAGAAAGTCCATTTCTAGGCATACACTCTACAGCAACGTTGGTACATGTGCTTAAGAAGATGTATAGCATCCTAATAGCGAAAAATGGAACCATCTAAATGCTCATTAACGGGTGAATACATAAATAAATTTTGGCATATTCGTACAGTAAAATTCCATACAGCAGCAAAAACGGATGAGCTAGAGCTGCAGACATAGATGATTCTTAGAAACTTAACGTCCAGGGAAAAGCACGTTGTAGGCTAACAATTTACACATTAGAAGGTCATTTATATAACATGAAACACCGGTTTTAGGTGCCTCAGGGGTACATACCTATTAAGAGAAGTAGAATGACGTGCATAGGAATTTAAGCTTAAGGACATTGTGGGTGGTTTCAACATGTTGATAATGTTTTATTTCTTAATTTCAATTGTGGATACTTATATTATTCTTTGTACTTCTTGTATATCAAAAATATTGCATAATAATTTTTTTCAAAACAATTGCTCTAAGCTGTTTGCTCCCCATTGCTTCCTCTGTTGTCCCATAAAGTGAGCCTGTGCCACCTTTTCAAACCCGGAGCAGCTTGGGTTTGATTGTTAATCATGCCCGGGATGTATCCGTCACATCTGCAGTTGATTCTAACTCAGCCTTTGACTCAACCAGGCTCTGTGACCATGATGAGAGATCAGCAAAGGATTATAAACTCGGTGGTTGTGCTCTCCCTCTTGACACATGGTATTAGTTCCACCTGTTCTTCCGTGACCTCTAGTCTCCCATCATAGATTACCAGTGCTCTTTCCTCTAAGGGTTGTTTGAATCCTGATTGCTGCCTGATTGCAGGATGTTTCAGTGTAGGCTGAGGGACTGGAAAGGTACTGGGATTAAAATGACTCTGTGGTACATTGATGCCATGATCTAGGAAAGCTGGGATATGCGTAGGCTTTATTTGTGTATTTGTTTTATAAATTGGTATTGTTCTTCCAATCTTCACATACTTTCACTTGGAGAATTGCATTTACAAGCCAAGTCTCTTTGAAAAGTTACTCTTGGGGCTGGCCCCGTGGGTAAGCGGTTAAGTTCAAGTGCCCTGCTTCTGCGGCCCAGGGTTTCGCCAGTTCGAATCCTGGGCATGGACCTAGCACTGCTCATCCAGCCATGCTGATGCAGCGTCCCACATAGCAGAGCCAGAAGGACCTACAACTATGTACTGGTGGGCTTTGGGAAGAAGAAGAAGAAAAAAGAAGATTGGCAACAGATGTTAGCACAGGTGCCAATCTCTAAAAAAAAAGGAATGTAAGGTCATTTCTAAAGAAAAGTTATTCTATTAAAGCCCTGATAATTCCAAGTGTTGGCAAACATGTGGAGGCTCCTCTGTTTTTGTGAGCTGTGTTAGGCATATACATTGTTACAACACCTTTGGAGAATAATCTGTGGATTTCTGGTAAAGGTAAAAATGTACATATCTTTCAACTCATCAAATCTACTTCTAGGAGGATTCTAGCAAACGTGAACAATGAAATATACACAAGATTGTTTATTACTCATTGCTAGTGATAGTGGCAAACGGAAAACAGCCCAAATATCAGTCAACAGTTGAATCCATAAAAAAATTGTGGGGTATTCTTATAATGGAAAATGCTAAAGCAGGGAAATAAATAGCTGGATCCAAATATATTGGAATTAATAAATCTTGAAATGGTAATGTTATGTAAAAAAATAAGTCATGGAATGATACATGCTGCAGAACACCATTTGTGGAAGCTTCAAAGATATGAAAACTCATACAATATATCACTTATGGACACATACACATAAAGTAAGAGAAACAAACGTGGGTGGAGATATTAAACATCAAATTTTAATAGTAGATACTTTTGGTGAGAAAAGGAGAAAAGTGAGATGGGGGAAGAGCTCATTCAGGGGCCTCAAACGGATCTATGATGTGTTGTCGTTTTCATTATTTTAAAGCAAACGCCTTAATTCAGTAATCATCTCTAAAATTGGATATTTTCTCATATAGCCGTATTGCTATTATCGAATCTAAAAATAATTTTAGTACCATCTAAAATACGCAGTTCATATTAAATTTCCACAACTGTCTCAAAAATATCTTTTTGTACTAGGCCTGTACAAGTCAGAAGCCAAACAAGGGCTGCACACTATGTTTCGTTTTAGTGTCTTAAATTGCTTTACACTGAGAGCAGGATCTCTGTCCCCTCCCCCTCCCACCCCCACACACTTTTTTCATACTTTCCTTGTTGAAGCTACCGGGTCAGTTGGCCTTCAGACTGTCGCACGTTCTAGATTTATCTCTTTGCTTTCTTCTGGTGTCATTTGACTTGTCTCTTTCTCCCCTGTGGTCTCCATACAGGAAGTTTGCCCTAGAGATTTGGTTAAATTCAAGTTCAACTTTTTTGGCAGGAAAACATCCTGGGTTATGCTGAATACCTCCACTGCACTATGTCAGGAGACGCACCCTGTTTCAGTGATGGTAAAATTGATAAAAATGAGTAAGATGGTGGCAGCCTGACCCTTCCACCGCGAAGTTCCCCGTTAACCCCTCACTTGCTAGTTTCACCCCTTGACGATCATTGCCTGGATTCATGACTTCACCAGAGGTTACAAAACGGTGATTTTCTAATCTCATTATTTCTTTCACTTTATTAGACTGAATTATTCTGTAAAAAAGGGGGAATAAAGGAAAGACTCTTCCTTCATCTACAAGGGCTATCTAGTTATCCTGAAATGTAGTTCACACAGGAATCACAATTATTTCCTTTTAACTACTGATTTTTAGAATTGAGTTGTTTTCTTTCTTGAAAAAAAACATGGCTAAATGTTAAGATTCTGGAAAGCTGTGTGGTAAGTATCCGTGTGTTTATGCTATTCTCTAAACCTTTCTAAAGTTTGAAATATTTTCTGTTGAAATGTTTAATTGAACAGGAAAAAAAAGCCCTATTTTGGTAAAGTTCAAAATATACTTGAAGTGTTCATACGACATCAAAAAAGAAGCTTGACCTAAGCTTTGGGAATAGAAGTTATATAAAATTTTAGAGGCCTAATAAATTTGTTTAAAAGATAGAAAGAGGAGAAAAAAGAAATGAGCTAAAAATATAAAGCGTCCGAGTGAGGAGGCACATAGCAAACACCATCCTGGAGAGCACGCGGGCAGAGAGGGAGGGAGGCCGCTGCACGGCCCCGGAGCCTCGCTGAGCTCCGGCCGCCTCTTTCAAACTAGAGGAGAAGAGATTGAGTAAACTGAGCTAACAGACAAAAACAGCAACAGAAATAATAATAATAATAAAAAGACTAAAAGGTTCTTGAAAGGGGCCAGACTCAGGAGGGGAGGATGTCACGCAGCAGCCCCCAGAGGGGCGTGAGAGGCAGCAGCGAGCTTGGAGGCCTGAGGAGCTGGCAGGGGCGCCTCAAGGGGAGGGCAGAGGGAAATGGGACTCTGACACATGCCTGGAAGGAGACTGGCAGAGGCTATTTAGGGACCTGAGATGGAAATGCGTGCTGAAACCTGGTTAAGCAGAATATGTTCTGATGAAACTGCAGGAAAGGCAGAGTCTAGAAGAGACGAGAAGAACTGGATTTCTGGAGTGAGGAAAACCAGTGTTGGAATCTGGAGTCCACACTTGCCAGTTGGGTAACCCTAAGATCTGCTACTTCACAGCTTCACTTTCCTCATTAACAAAATGGGATAAAATAATGCCTCTTCCTGGGGGTTTACAACAGGATTAAGTAAGCCGACTCTGCTGTGCTTTAGTCGGTTTTGAGCAAACAGAGTTTCTACGCTTACTCCTGTTATCATCATTCTTGTTTACTTAAATGCGCTAATCAGCTGATGCAAATGCTATACCATGTTATAAAAGCGACTCGGCTGGGACGGCCATCATTTTGGTTATCATATTATGCGCTAAAATAATTTTCATTAAAAGACTACTTGTAAGAATAACAAAGAATGTGTGTACATCTGTATGTGTTTTTGTACACACTTAGATTCACCGAATGGCTCAAGATTGTTTCAAAGAGCTTTCTGTGAAAGAGGGAGGGAGGGTGGATGAGCGAGAAGGACCTGCGGTCAAGGGATTTCATCTCTCTGGACCCATTTCCTCATCTACAGAAATCCACAGACATGAGGTCCATGTTAAACAAGCGTTACTTCCACAGCATTTTACTCAGTGTATCTTTGTACCTACCTGACAGAGTAACGACCACTGGCACCACCACACTTGACTGTACCACCCACTGAATATGCCACTTAAAGATCCTGCAAAAATTCAGGCAATGTGGGCAGCGAGCATGTATTTATTCCTCTGTACATCACAAACACATTCTGATGTGTCGGCTGGGCCAGGATCAAATGGAAGGTGATCTTTCAAAAGGTCTGTAAAACAATTTGAAAGCTCTGAAAGCAATTACGAATGTGAGCCAGCAACCCATACAAAAGACTTGGACCTCCATCCAGGAGGCCTCCCCAGGAAAGGCGCCTGCTCCCTCACTGCTTTCCACGGCCTCTGCTGACAGTTCCCTTGGCCTCTTCTCTCTCGCTTCCTCTGAATTCTCCCCTCTCCAGCTTTCTCAGCTTTGTGGGATCTGCTGTCACGAGGCAGCTATCACTCAGAAGTTTACACCCCGTGGTGGTGGTGGCTGCTTGCATGACTCTGGCTATTGCGACCAGAGCCCACCTCTTGGCAGCTCACTCATCAGAGGGGCCTTTCTGCTTCTCTCCTCCTTTTTGTGTTTCATCCTGCAGAGATGCAGGTCCATGGATGCTAGAAATGTCCATCTACAGCGGAGACACCCTTTCTCTGCTGGCCTGCGTAAGTGAGAGGAAGGGTCTGGCGCTCCACTCCCCTCGTGAGCCACCGGTCCAAGGTAAGGTCACCCGCACTGCTATTTCCCTTCACAAATGCAGAATGTCAGAGAAATGCCAAACATCTGTGCCTTTGAGTGGAGTAAGTAAAGCCTGAATTTGAGACGCTGGCACACAAAACACATCGGGCCTTCCTACACAGGCCCTCCATGTGAAAGAGGGGACCGTTAACGCTGCCCTGCGAGGACAGGACACACAGAGAGCCGGCCCCAGGAATGCTCGCACAGAAATGCATCATCCAGGGCAGATTCATCTGGCCCATTATAGGAAAGGTGTGAGAATGCAGATTTTAGGTTGGAAAAAGAGAACATTTTTGACGAAGCAGTTGAAAAACTTCTGAAGACTTTGCTGTTGGTGGGTCAGTTCCCCAGGCGATTGGGCAGAGTTCAGCAATCAGGTGGTTCATTTGCATGATCTTGGGAATTGCTTCCTTGGAATGAGCCCATAAAAGGAAAGCTGACATGCAGTGGCTGACTCTGATGGCCTTGAGCCACAGACAAGAACCTATTTCCAGAATAGGGACTCAGTATTTGGGGGTTAAAAAAAGCAAACTGTGAAGAGATTTTTCTCACAATTCTGGCTGAATTAAGAGGAGAGTGTAGCAGAAAAGCTACTGCCTATTCAAAACAAGAACTATAAAATATCGATTGCACTCCTCTGGCTGCAAGGCACAAAGATGAACAAGCATAGGACAACATCCGTTCTTGAGATAGGACATAGATAAATTACTTAAAATGCAGTAGAAAAAGATAAAAATCGTGGTCAAAGAACAGACTGTTTTCTGTGGGAGTCCTCAGAAGGGATTCATGTAGTCAGTCAATAAACATTTAGTCCCTGCCTGTGACAAACACCAGACCAGGTCCTGATGATGCAAAGACAGCAGATCTGCTCTTCAGTAGCTTGGAGTTTTGTGGGTAGACAGCATCATAGGCAAAGAAGTTCCATACAAGTTCCCAGGAAGGATGATTTGGCATCCTCATGAAGAGCTAGGAAAAGAAAAGCTCACGTCACAATGGCTGAGCTGACACTTAGAGACATGTAGGGAATGACTTCTAACTAAGAAGACTGATACAACCTTATTGAAGAAATGAACCCTTCCTGTTTAGGATGTTTGAGAGCAGAACAACCTCTAAACTATGAGTTTTGTGGATGCCTTTGGTTAATTTCATCTTGTCTGAAAAGCACAAAGGACGTACCATTCACACCTACAATTACAGAAAAACAAGATGGATTGTGGGGGCAGTATGGGAAAGGTCAAAGATGTCTCTAAGAGGTCACCAGAAGCCCACTTCACAGAGCTGTAAAATAAAAATCTTCACCGTTGATACACAGGAGGAAGAGTTTAAGAAATATCTAAAAGTTCCACAAACAATCCAAGATAATTTACGTAACAAGATCGAACACTTGGAACAGTTGCAAAGTTTAGAGAGAGGGTCGTATTACCATGATCCCAACACAAATATGCACAGGCACATGTGTGCATACACCCGGATGCAACATTGTAGAATGAGGCAGGGTTCTGCCACGTGCAGTGAAATGAGCGTGGCCTCTTGAGCCAGGTGGGTTTGAATTCAGATCTGGCTCTACCATGCAATCATTTCATGGCTTGGGCAAACTATTTAACTTCTCTGAGTTTCAATTTCCTTATTGTGTAAAGAATAATAATATTTACTCCATGATGTTGTTATGAATTTTGGTAACAGTATTACTCACCATTGATTGAGTACTGACTCTGAGCCAGACAATGAGCAAGGCACTTTATCTACAGTATCTCATTTAGTTCTTACAACAACCCTGCAGTGTAGGTATTATTACCCCCATTTTAGACGTGGGGAAACTGAACCTCTGAGAAGCTGAGTAGCTGACCCATGGTCACACAGTAAAAAACGTTGGAGGTGAGATCCAAAACCTCCGTTTGTAAAAACTGTGCTATCACCCCTGCAAGGAGCCCAAAGCAGCATGTGAAGAGTGGAAGTCGTCCAACGCATGGGGATTTCCACGTCACACACCCCTCTTTTCCTTGTTTCTCCCCAGCACCTTCATAACCTAAATTTCTCTCCATCTCTCTCAATGTGTGGGTCTCCAAAATGTGTGCGCTTCTAATTCATTTACCTGGGTCTCTGTTGGGAAGCCTCGTGCATGTGTTTATTTCTCTATTTCTCTTGAAAGGTTTGTGTGTGTGTTTGAGTGTCTCCTTCTATGTGCGAGAGTTTCTAAGTCTCTGCCTGGCTACGCCTGTCTCTTGTTCTCTGTATCTTTGTTTATAACTGGATCAAAGGCCCAGTTTTTGTCTTTTCACTCTGCCCCCTCCCCCACCATCTTTTCCATTCTTCCCTCTTTTGTCCTTAGACCCCTCTCTCCTAACTGGACATGACATAAGACAGTTGTAATTCAATGTTTTTGGCTGGATTATAAAAATTGTAATTTTCCTTGTTGTGTTGTAGTTCATGTGCCCTTAGTTATCGCCTTGTCCTTTGGGAATCAGTGGTTACAGTTTTTAAAAATGGAAAGATCTCCTGCCTCTGGTGAAGTGTAAGCTAAAGGAGGGATTGATTAAGCTGTTGTTTATGGTTTCAAAACAACTGACCCAGGAAGCAGTTGCTCCCGGTCCATTCCTGGGCAGGGTTACAAACTCTAGTGGGAAACAATTTATTTGAGGTTTTTCATGAGAACACTTGCATATACAAGCCCATTCTTGGAAGAAGAGAGGAATGCTTCATGTTTCCTTATTTTTGAGTAAGAAAAAACATCCTCCAGTCCCACTTGTTTATGTAAACTTTAATAGGGAGGTGGAGCTATGCTCGATTCCACAGAAAAACAAAAACAGTAAATTATTTCCTCCATAAAGATTGAAAACCCATATTTATAAACAAAAGAAACCTAATGTAGTGTGCTATTGGAGAAAAAAAGAATTTTCTCAGCCTGCTGCGAGAACATGTCGTGTGTGGCCAGTGAAGAAAGTTTGTACAACGGAAAACACTCCATTGCCAAGAGAGGAACAAGGGTAAAAAGGATAAAAGTCATCCGCATTCCAACCTTATCCCATGCCTTTCTGGAAAGAGAAGCCGGGGGGAAGAAGAAAAAGGGAGACTTTCCTCAACAGTTGGAAAATTCATTGCAAAAGAAAGACTTTCCATGGTTTGGCAAGGAAGAACACAGTGGGGGTGAGATGTGAGCATTTATGTATTCGATTCATGTAAAGGAAAAGACTAGAATACGTGGGTACAGGGTGTCAGTGCTCACAAGGTTTCGGCTATGACGTTCTCAGTATTAGGACATAACACAGTATGTCATCACGGCCTAAGGAAACAAAAGCTTGTCATTTTGTGTATCACTGTCTTCTAGAACCCCCAAATCTGGGAATTGCCATCCAGCGTGCACGCAGAGAATCACAGACTTTCAGACTTTATCAGACGGCAAACTTTAATCCTCTGTGAGAAACTCTAATTTCTTTGGCACATCCACACCGATTAGAGCTCTGACATTGACAAATGAATTACTGAAATCCAAACACTCCATCTATACTGCGTTTGCCTGACTTCACAGGAAGAAACAGTTTGCACTGGACGCATTCCGTGATTTGTTCTTAGGGCACTTCAGATGGCTCCTAAGTGATCGGGTCACTCCTTTTCCAAAGTTCACACTGTATCTTCCAACAATTTCTTCTGGAATCTGCGCTGGCTCCCAGGCCTCCACGTGCTTCCGCTTCGGACAATTGAGCCAACGTTTGCTTGAAGGTTGATGTCCACCCCACTCCCATCCTCTCTGGCTCCTGGCAATCTACCAAAGGTGGTTCAGCAAGCACATCACAGGTTTTCTCAGACCCTGCACTGGAATCCCCTTAAACCAGGAAGCTGAGCTGCATAAAGAGCACCTAGTGGCTCTCTGTTCGTCTGCTGTGGCTTCAAATTCCTGAAGAGGAGAACGCCAGAGCTGAGAGGAGGCGGGGAGCTGCACGTTCTGTCTGTTGCCTCTTTACATAAGTGCCCTTAAGCTCGGAGCCTTGTACGTGACTCAGTTCCAGATGCACTTTCAAAGCCCTTTGGGTTGTTTTGCATTTGTTATAATCCTTAACTTCTCACAGCTTTGATAAGAGTTGATTTTGAAACAAATTACAGAGAAGACAGAAGAGAAACTGTTTTTTCTTTTCTTCAAAATGGTTGATTTACCTTGGACTGAAGCCCAAGGAAGGCGGGAGGCTTCCAGTAAACAGGAGTTCACCTTCATAGCTTCAGATGCCTGGGCCTCTCGATCCCTGCAAAAAAATTCCTCCTTCATATTTAGCTGTTGTCAAGGATCATCTTGTCTGTGTTCTGACTCTACTCCCATCTGTTCCCTTCACTCTGTGTCACTCACTGTTAGACTGCAAGACACCCAGGACCAGGGGCCCCACTGACTCTTCACAATCCTGAGTACAAAGCCCCGTGCAGAATGGACACCGTCATATTGACCAATAAACAATGGTCTTGGTTAGTCAGAACACGAAGGAGCTGTTGAGAACAGGAGCTTTGCATGTGAGTTCGAATCCTAACCTCATGACCTTCAAACATTTCTGAAGGCCCTTACGGTTTAACTTTCACTTATGGGACCAAGTGATAGGATTGTTGAGATGAATACGCGAGATGACACATGAGTGGTCAATACGCAGTACCACCAGTTTATGTTATTTATCATCGTCAACAGCAAAACGAGGACTTGAAAGTCGCCTCACAAGTTTATTTTGAAGATTAAATGAAAAAACATAGGTTAAAATGAGCTGTCACGTCACAGGTATTTAATAAGTGTTAGCTTCTTTTCTTCCTTCACGAAATGGATACTGTTATATATTACCTTGACAACAACTTTATAGATCAGTGGAGTAATGTGACTAAAAAGAGAGTTAACCTACAAACCCCAACTAAATATCAATTTGCAAATTATTGGCACATTCAAGTAAAACATGCTTAACTCTAAAACTCTCTCCAACCTCATTGAATTAACTTTGATTTTTCAAGAGGCACTTTGAAGGATAGAAGCGGGTGTTGTGTTGTGTGGTGTGGTACAGTGGGGTAGTGGAAAGAGCAAGGAATTTGCCTCAGAAGACCTGAGTTTTTATTCATAAGATGTGAGGCGGGACATATAACCCCCTCAGTCCCTCATCTGCAAGGTGAGTTATAATAATTCTTGCTCAACTTATTAGATAGGGTACTGGTATACAAATCAGATACCTGAAAACACTTGGTAGACTACACTATTATTTACAAGTTGGTTACTGTTAGGGGATGTGACTATAAATGCAATTTAAACGATACATAGCAGGTTTAGGAATCAACGTTAGAGCTATATGTAAATCTCTGATACTATTTTTTTGATCTACCAAAGTCCTCGCCCAGCCCTCCTGATGGAAAGAAGCTATCCTAGGGCATGAATCAACAACCAAGTTGTTAAAAGATAATTTTAAAAAGGGAGCATAATCATGGTTTTCATACAAGTGTAAAATGAAGTTTTATCAAAGATTTTTTTGTTCAACTCATTAATTAATGAGGGAGCCAGTAAGACGTCACCGCCAGTCAAAGGAGAATTAAAAGAAACGCATGTTTATGTGAAGTGAAGGAAGGCTGGAGTGAGTTTAAGATAGATGCAAAAACTGCTCCATCCACAACAGTCAATCACGCTCCAACAGACACACAAATGCGCAACAGGGAAAGAATCATTTGCACTAATATCAGTTTATACAGCTTAAAGAGTTGGAAAGAAGCTCAAAAGGAACGAAAGGGGAAGATAATCTAGATGAGTGAGCAGTCGAGACAACTGCAAATACAGATTTTTATATATGTCCACTTAAAAGTTTTTTACTATTTTTCTTGACAGAGCTGTTAAAAACAAGACAACAGGCCCAGAATGGAGTCACTGATAATAAGCCCCATGTCCCCAAATGGAGACTTAACTTACAGTTTCAGTCCTCCCAGAAGTGGAATCCTAACCCAGTCAGTCGGGAATCCCCTGGTCACACTAGGTGGGTCACCTGCCTGACAGACCCCTGCCAACCCCTGAAGGAAAGTGACCTTGCCACAACCAACCTACTTCTTTGCCTAGTGTAGCTTCCTTGTCCCTCTCTCTTCTGCTTATAAACGTCTTTCATTTTGTACAGCTCCTCAGAAGTCCTTTCTATCAGCTAGGTTAGATGCTGCCTGATTAAAGGAGTGTTGAACAAAGCCAGTAAGATCTTTAAAATTTACTCAGTTGAATTTTGTGGTTTTTTTGGCTGAGGAAGATTTGCCTTGAGCTAACATCTGTTGCCAATCTTCCTCCATTTTGTATGTGAGCCACTGTCACAGCATGACAGCATGGCCACTGACAAGTGGAGTAGGTCTGTGCCTGGGAACTGAACCTGGGCTGCTGAAGCAGAGCATGGTGAACTTAACCACTAGGCCACTGGGGTTGCCCCTGAATTTTGCCTTTTAACAGAGCTAAGAAGGTCAAGCCAATAACTAACTAGTTATTAGATCAAGGCTGAGTACTTTCTCTGTGGTTAGGGAACAGACTGGGATGAGGAAAGGGAAGCGTATCACTCACGTGTCTGAACATCAAGCCACTTACATTTTAGTTAAGGAGCTATGAAAAGTGAATAAGTAACAGACAATGCCCCGCCTCCTCTGTTTTCTCCTTTCACTACTTCCCCAAGCTGAAGCATGCACTGATCTACCAATTCGGAGCTACTTAATGCCCTGACCCAAGGAAACCTGTCAGTAGCAATCAAGCATGGATAGCAGCCAGCATGGATGCTGGCAATTTCCAAAGAGAGGTTTTGAAGCTCCTCGTAAAAAATCTCTCTGAATGGACGTAGAATTGCTTGTAAGGCGTTTCAACGCCATGGGAAGTCACTGCCGCAGACAAGAGCGCACCGTCCCATGGAGCAGCTCCAAGGCAGCAGCCGAGGTAGGAGAGAGTGACAGGGAGGGAGCGGGTCAGCCCTTAGTTTTCAAAGTTATTTTCAGTAAGAAAAAAACTCTGTGTCATCTCCACCATCGTCATCATTCCCAGCAGCTTCAGCAGTAGCCGATCCACACACTGGAAACCTCTACCAAGCGTGAAGCAGCTGCAACGTCGGCGGAAGAATTGCGCAGGCGTTTGCTCACTTTGGGCAGAATCGTGGCGTAGAAGGCATTAGCTGAAACGTTTTAGATGTATTTAGCTGGACCATTTCCAATCATCTTCAAAAAGGTTTTCTAAGTTCTAACACAGTAAGTAAAATGACCATATACTTTATAAAAATGTGAATCTCTAGCATACTTTAAATCCATTTAATGAGATCGAAAACATACCTTCGCTGGTTCCGCTGATGTTACTCATTTGTTGTTATTGTGCGACGTCTTATAAGTCGTGGCCAATCGTGAGCTCTGATCTAAAGCTCAGTATTTGGTCAGGAATGTAATCTCCCAAACTACAACGTTGCTCAGAAGAGAAAAGGTGGACATGCTTTATGTTCGTGCATTTTGTTACGAGATCTCCCAGAAAGCCCTGTGTAAAAAGCAGAGTATCCAGACAATAATAGAGACGTTTGATTCTTGGATTGGGAAATAAAGTGACTTTGGAAGTTGAAAAGTGACTTTTTCAAGATTATAAAACACTCATTAGGTTATTCTGCCAACACTGAGTTTTGTACAGTTTGTTGACTGACTGATCAACTCACTTATATTCATTCATTCATTCAAGAAAAGATTTTTTTGAGCATGAATTATGTTCCAGACACTTGATAGGAGTTGGGGATATATAGCTGAATGATATTGTCATTGCTTTCAAGGAGATAAAATCTGTCTAGAGAGACAAACCAATCATGGCACACAAGCAAGGGGGGGGGTCTACATAGACTTTGAGCTTGGAAAAACAATTTCCAATATTTGATATCCTTAGCCTGGCAGCAGTTGGACACAGTTGGGAAGTTCCAACAGTGGAGGAAGCAGCACACCATCCCTTCGAGCAGCTCCGCGGCAGCCGTTCGGCACAAACAGGGGAGGCAGGAGAGAGCGGCAGGGAGGGAATTAATCAGGTAGCAAGAAAGAAAGGAGGGTTTTGTACATTGCATGTTTTTCCTAAGAAAACAGCAAACTTGGCTTCTCCTCCCAAATTGAAGTCCTTCTTAGGTCAGACTTCATTTTCCTCATTTATCCTCATATCTACTTCCTACTCACATATGCACTTGAAAAATTATCCTCCAATTACGCCTTCAATGAGCAATGAAGATAGGGATTATGGAGCCCATGGGCTAGCTGGTTGGATTAGGGGCTGAAGCATCCCACCCAACCCAGAATCCAGGAATGCAAAAGGAGAAAATCAAAACAATCCTTATCCACCTAACATCTGTGACAAAATACTCAAAGCTAGAGGTCACCAGGGACCTCGAGAGCACTGCCATACACCATTGAAAGTCCAGCTCCACCCTGTGAGAGATGAGATTTGGGACCAAGAAAAGCATTGAAAGAGCAAAACATCTCTGGTACTCTCAACCACCTTTTAGCCCAAAATGTCCTCCTCTATTGAGATCCCCTTTCCCCCATCAAAACCTAATTTTTTGAAAGTTTCTGCTGTGATTACAAATATTTAAATCACTAAGTTTTCTCTACTGGGAGTATTTGCAATTCATGCCCCAAATTCCAGTGGAGGGAGATGCCCTGTCCTCTGTAGAATGGATTCTTTGCTACTTCCCCTTTCTCCTTCCTACCAGGATTCCCAAGGGGCGTTCTGATTGGTCCATCTAAGCCAGTGGTTCTCGCTACTGGATGCTCGTTAGACTCGCCTGGGAACCTTTGTGATGCTTGCTCCCCATCCCCCAGAGATTCTGATTTAATTGCTCTGGACTACAGCTTGGACACTGGTCATGTTTTGATTTTAATGTATATTCAGGTTTGAGGATGATTAGTCTAGGTCAATCTGCATAGAACATTTTTCAGGGCGTAGAGCACTGATTGCTGCCGTCAGGCATCTTGCGCCCACAGAGAGTCAGACTTAGATGCAGCTGACACTGTAGTCAGTTTTTGCAGTAGTCACTACTACTGCTCTGCCAGAAGTAGGAAAACAACCTTGGTCCTTAAAATCATTATTGATGCCACCTCTGGACTTTCAGGGTTTTTTGTTTTGTTTTTTGGTAAATGATAAGAGTATTCTGTTACTTGCAACCAAGAGCATCTAAGTTGGTCAGTGCAGGATAAGCTATAGGATAAGTAGCAACAAACTTCAACATTTCAGGCACTAAGCACTCCCACAGTTTATTTTTCACCGCAAATCCAATGCAGGCTAAATAATCTGCCTCTGCTTTGTAGCTACGCCAACTGAGACACATCCCCTCAAGGTAGAAGTACGTATGTAATTGGAAGAAATATATGATTTTCTCTGTCAACTTGACTAGGCTGGGTTGCTTCACTGAGATGTTGCTGTGATGTTGCCATGGTCTCTTATAAAGTGATTAACATTTGCAATCAGCTGACTTTAAGGAGATTACTTTCTAGTGTGAGCGGGCCTCATGCAATCAGTTGGAGACCTTAACAGGAAAAACTGAGGTTTTCTGGAGAAGAGGGGATTTTGCCTCAAGGCCGTAACATAGAAATCCTGCCTATGTCTCCAGCCTGCTGGCCTCCCCTACAGATTTTGGACTTTCCAACCCCACAATTGTGTGAGCCAAGTCCTATAAATCTTTCTCTGTTTGTCTCTCTGTCTACCTCTCTGTATCCCTCTGTCTCTGTCTCTGTCTCTCTGACTCTCTCTCTGTCTCTCTCTGTCTCTGTCTCTCTCTCTATGTACATACATACATAGCGTGCCCTATAGACATATAGCAGTGTAATTTAGTGGAATAAATCTAATCTTGCAACTTACTGGATGTATGGACTTGCTCGAGTGATAGAACCTCTTTTAAGCCTCAAGTCTACATTCTGATAAAATGAGAATAATGATACCTAACCCATGAGGTGCTTAAGATGCTTACATGAGGTAATTTGTGTGACGTTTAGTACTCTAAACTCATACTTTTTAAGCAAGCTTTGGTCTGGAATTTCTGATTATAAATGAAGCCAAGGTTAGCCAAAATTAGGTGCTGACAAGGACTAGTGGAATAGGAGATCAGGTGCCTTGGGGATATAGTTTTTGGTGGTCTGTGGCATCCCATAGGGTCACTAGTGTCTTGGGTTAGATGGAGTCTCCTGGCGTCTTCTACTTTTACTCTCTGTTTCCGGCAGAAGCGCACACCCTCCCCGACACACATTATATTCTAGATTTTATCTGCATCTCCACGGTGTCCAGGAGAACAGTTCTCTTGGGGCCCTGAGATCCAAAGGACGTGGCGATGGGGGGATGAGGAGCGAATGGAGCCCGGATGGTACCTGCCCTGACCTGGACCCTGGTCCTTCTCTGAACCCAGGAAGAAAAGGAGCAGGAGGAGAGAGTTGAAGATGGTACCCGAAAACAGCTAGATGTGGAACCATCTGGGAAGGAAAGGAAGCCGTAAGAGAAGGGGGTGGAGCTGTCCCTGGATTCTTGGACCGTGTTGACATTCTTTTAAACTTTTTTTAAAAAATAAAAGAGAAAGGAGAAAAAGTAATCTTATTAGACAAAGACTACTGCTCCAATCCCCCCTTGGCAAGAAACACAAAAGCAAGAAATTCACTCCTGATTTTGCCAAATCGCAGAAAAGCACATGAGAAGGATAGCCTAATTCCCAAATGGCATTACAGAAAACATCAGAATGAATGAAATTTAAGCCTGAATGCAAACATCTGTGGAATTTTTACTTAGAGGAGGAAAAAAGAAAGTGAGATTAAGACCTACAGCATCTGAAAGAGTAGGTTAATGGAAATAATAAGTATTTACCACAGTTTTGTAACTCCAACGGCACTCCCACATGTCACAGATTTTCTGAAACATCAATATCCTTGAGAATCCACAATGTTTACTCCCTGTTTGACGTGCACAGAGTGTACCCGCAAGTGTTGTTTTTGCCTTCCCAGGCCTCTTTCATCCCTCTTCTGCTACAGAAACCTTTTTTTCCTGTGAGAATCCATTCCAAACAACTCAGGCAGGGCTGCCTGACACCAATCTGCCCTCCTACGCCTGCCGAAGGGGTGCTCTGGCGACCCAGGCCCGGCCTACTGTAGCGCGACAGCCCTCGGCCAGAGTGAATTGCTCAGAAATGGGCACATCACCCAAGCAGGGCAAGTCGGAGCCTTCCGTTTGGTTTGATATAGAGACTTGGGGAAAGAGCAGAGAGCTTTCTTCTTCTTTGGGATCATGAAAGCAGAGGACCAGAAATCCTGAAGAGGCTTGCAGCCATCTTTGCCATTGCCTGGTGGGTATCTGCTGCGAATAAAGATGATGAGGAGGTAAGGAAGCAGATTCAAGAGATGAAAAGAGACTAAACTTTGATGACAGCCTATCAACAGGGAGCTGTGCTTTCCCAGTCCCTAGGGAAATCCCTGAGTGACTGGCACCAATAAGAAAGGGTTTGCTCAAGTGGTGCTGGCCCCAGAAGGAACAGCTTCCCCATTAACCTCCTGAGATGGGTCCATGGAGGACAAGGGAGAAAGACCTCCCTGCCCCAAGAATAGAACCCAGTAGCCAGCACGGCTCACCAAGGACCTCACAGCTCTGACACACAGGGCACTCTTCTGTCTCTGTCAAGAATCAGATGGTGTCTGCACTCTAGACCATTTCTCCTCTTCCCCTTAGAATGGGAGTTTTTAGTGAAAAATCTTCAGACAAAATCTTACCTAATTGAGGCCAAACAAAAAGATGTGTCCCTAAATTCTCCAGCATCTTCGAAGTCTCTCAATCATGAATATCAGTACAGTTTGTAGGTACAGTTATAGGAATTAAAGGGAGTGACAAGTGTGCACTTAGACTTAAAATAAGGCCCTCCTATGAGGAGTTCATCACGACACTCTTAAATGGGGGCTTAAACTGGTGTGTGTGTGTGTGTGTGTGCACATGCTCATGTGTGCATGCACACATAGGAAGAAAAGAGAGAGAAAGGCAAGATCAACCAGATCTGGCACCCTTGAAGGCAGAACGATGAAGGCAAAGGAGGCTGGGGGTGGAGGAGCTTGGAGAACTCAAGTGACAACTTCCATCTCAAAAGTCAGGGTCTATATGACTCCAGGGCATCAAGGGGGCAGCCAGCAAACTTGTATTCAGGCTCCAGGTGACTCAGTTAGTCCCAGTCCAATGTGGGGGCAGTGAACAAAGAAAGGAAGGTAACAAAAGTCAAAAGTAAAGAGGGAGATGTTTTAATGTTTATAAAAATCTGAAACTAAAAATTGAAATGTCTCCTACGACCTTCAGCTGAATGCTTTAATTATTATTATAAAAGCAGAGGTGGGGGGCATGGGCAGCAGGATAAAAGAAGAATCAGATAGCAATCCTGGGGCCAATTTTACTGCTACCATGTGTTAATCACAGCAAGTTATCTAAACTTTTAGGGCTCCCTTTGTTCATCTGTAAAGTGAGGATGATAATACCTATCTCATAGGAGTACT